AAATAAATAAAATCTTTAAAAAAAAAAATAAATAAAAATAAAAAAAATAAATTTATCTACTTTAAGTTTTCAGATTTGTACGCACAGAGTTCATCAAACAGCCTCTTACTCCACCAGAAATCCTGGCAGTTATGTTACTGTGTTTCATTTCTCATAGTGTCTGTGCCTTTCCTCTTTATTTTTTATTTTATTCTATTTTAAGCAGGCTCCACGCCCAACGTGGGGCTTTACCTCACTACCCTTAGATGGAGGCCTGAGCTGAGATCAAGGGTCGGATGCTTAACCGACTGAGCCACCCAGCCCGCCCCCCTTATTTTTTAAAATTAATCTTGCCGGGGAATTGGTCTGTTTTATTACTTTTTAATTACTAACATCTGTCTTTGTGGATATTATCATGCGTCTGTGTTCTAATGCATGAGTTTCTGTTCCTATCCGTATTTCATTTCTTCCACTTTATTTGGGTAGTAATGCTGTCACTTCCCCTCACACTGCTGTTTCAGGTGCCCCACGAATTCTGAAATAAGACCATTTACCTCATTATTTTTGGTTCTCAACATTTCTGGTTCGCCTTATAATTTCCTCTTTGACTCAAGATTTCAGGAGGGTTTTCCAAGTGTCAAGTGTACCGAGCTTTTCTAGTTTTCTTTTTGTTGTTGAGGATATTGTGGTCAGAAAATGTGTTCTGGGTGCTCCCAATTTCCAGAAACGCGTTGAGGCTGCTAGACTTTATGTCCAGCACACGATCAAGTTTTTGTCAGTATTTGGAACGTGTGTGCTCGGGTCACTGAGAACAACAAATCCACGACCTCATGAGCCGTGCTGCTCAAATTCTGTTACATTCTCACTACTGTTGGTGAAATTATAAGAAGTATACATATTGGTCTCCACACCCCCGTTCCTGGCACAGAATTCCCGAAACCCCGGTCATTTCTTAGGAGACCAGGCACTATGAGCATCTCCTGCTTACTGAGCTGACCCTGCATGGTTCCTGGCCGGCTCCTGGCTGGAGCCAGAATACCCAGAACCCCCAAGCCTCAATTAGAAGCTGGGAACGTTCTGTTACCTGGAAATGTCGCGTTTTACCTTCCTTCTTAAGGAATACCTTCAAGGAATATAGAATTCTGGAGGATCCAGGTTGTTTTGTTGATGTTTCAAGATGTAAAATGCATTTTACCATCATTCTTGGAAGAAAGAGGATTTCACTAGGAAAGGAAATCAAGGCGGACTGTTTTTCTTCCAACCCCCGGAAGATCTTACCCCATGGGCCTCTGGCACCTTCCATCCATGCTGAGACGTCAGCTACCAATGTGCCTGCCGCCCCTTTTCCATGGACCGTCCGCCCCCCGTGGGTCTAGTATGTTCTCCTATGGGGCTCTGCAGTCTTCTGCCAATGCACCCAGGTGGGAAGTTCTTTTATTATATCCTGCTTATGATTCACTAGGCTTCCTGGATCTGAGAAGTGGCTCCTTGCCGTGAACCTAAAAACCCTCAATCACTCTTTTCAAATCTAAACTCTTCTGAAACTCCAAAGAGAATGTGTGTAAGACGTCCTCATTCTGCCTCTGCGCTTCCCCAGCCACACCGACCTCCCCAAAGCTCCCCAGACGTACCAAAGGGCATGTCCACCGCCTGAGGCCTCTGGGCCTCCACGTCCCTCCATTTTCCCATTCTTCTTGCCTTCACTAACTCCTGGAACCGCTCAGCTTTCTTTCAGAGCACTCATTTGCCTCAGTGTCTCCCAGGGCTGTGACCTGCAGTGGGGCGCAGGGGAGCATAGGAGGGAAGTGGGAGGGTAGCAACTGGGACAATCTGGCTGAGCTCCACTGCTCAGAGAGGGCTGCAGGAAGGGCGGTGACTGCCAGTCTCAGAGAAGACCAGGGGATGCTCCCAGGTCCCCAGGAGGACCCACGGCCCTGGGTGCCATTCCCAGGCATGCCCCTCTTAGCAGCCCGAGTAGCCGTGCACAGGGATGGACATGCGGGTAGGACGGCCCTTGACTTTCAGAAACATGAACTTCTGCTAGGAGTTCTACCACTGTGCTGGCTTTATCTCTTCTGGTCCTGAGATGCTGAGTGACTTTAGAGTGGGCCTGTCGAGCCCATATCAGCCGCCACCTTGACTGTCTTTTCACGTCTGGCTGACGGCGAGTGGGAGGGGCACAGGGAAGGGGAGGACGGGGCTACCTCGGCTACTTCCCAGACCCGTCACCGCACCCGCAGTAACGCTCAGAGCTGGACACGGGCCAAGGCTGATTCTGCCGTGCAGCGTGCACTCCCACCATCCCGGGGACACGTAAGCCTGTCAACTGCTGTGTGGACTAGGGACTTCTGCTGCAGCCGCCTCAAACCCACAACCCTCCAGAGGCCTCCAGAAACACCCGCCTCCCTCCAGAAGCTGCTCTGATCTTTCCATCCCGGTCTTCTCAGAATCGCACACAGAGCCACGTCCCCATGACGGCAACCGCTCTCCCCAGGCCCACCTCTGCCGGACATGACAAGGGGCCTAGCAGGACACTGGTCCCGGCTTGGAATCACACAGTGGGGACAGGCCCTTGCTATGCCCCAACATGAAGTGCCTCATGGGGCCTCGGTTCTGCGTCAAGGCTAGAGCAAACAATGTGGTGGAAACCACGTTCGGGAGAGAGCAGGACTGTAAGGAGAAGAGACGGGTCGTGTGCTCAGAGCTGCTGGGATGCAGTGGAGAAGACCTGGGATTGGGTCCACAGGAAGACCTGGGCCAGGCTGTTCCTGGCTCCCTGTGAGCACAGGGGTGTTAACACACATTCCGCAGCCTCCCCTTACTTGCCAGCAACCATGGGAACTGAAGGAGCCCACGTCAGGCGACGCCTACTCCCTGGTCGACATCCCCCTTGCTCACACCTGCACCAGGAGGACATGGGCTGGGGGTCTCAGCGCATTCCCGTGCAGCCCTGACCACCAGGGCACCGTGGGAGAGCGACTGTCCTTCCCTGTTCTCGCCCCCGTCAGGGGATGCCCAGGTCACCTTCCCGCTTCTCCTGAAAGACACCCCGACTCTCCTTGGGAGATTTACCCCCTCGCTTACTCCCAGTCCCAGGCCGAGTGGAACTGACTTTGCTCTGGCAACGAGGGTGGGTTTCCAGCAGCTAATGTCAACCTGCCAAGTCCGCCAACTACCGAACCCCACACCCAAATCCCTGATGGTAGAAAGGCTACTGAGGCCAGAGGGGAGAGGGCAAAAGGGCCCAGCGGGTGGGGTCCTGGTGA